ATGTATTAATTAAAAATCTGTTTTGTTGTGTTCGTACATAATAAATAAACATTTTTTGCTAACAATTAAAGCGCTGCAGCTTAAAAACAATTTTATAAAAATTGAAAATTTAATTTCTCACGCCAAACGTCGTTCTTTGAAAATTAATATTTTATTGAAAATAAGCTTTCCTTTACAAAAGATAACTGAATTGGTATATAAAATACGCAAAACGGTCCACGACAGTCGGATCTACATAACCGAAACGGACACGAAACGGACCGCCAAGGACTGTCAACTCGGCCAAATTCTACAACAACAAACGTCAAATAAAAAATACAAAAACGCGAAAAATGTAAATTCCAAAACAAAGAGAAAAATGATTACATTTACAATTAAATTCTTATATGAATTTGATATTTTTGCCTATCCGATGTTTGAGATTAAAGTTTCAAAAATATTTTAAGTAATATTTGCGGAAAAACGAAATTATTTTTTAATGCCCTTGTAACCCTGTTAATGTTTTTCCAATACATAGTATATGAAATGTATTAATTTAAAAAATTTTTTGTAAAAAATAAACTGAAACGGTTTATTTTAGTTTTCAGTAAAAGAATAATAGTTTAGTTTTACATTTCCAATAACAGTAATCATTTAAATTGGTTTTATTAAAGTTTTCATTATAACTACACATTTTTACACTATTTCTAACTTAAAAAAAAAAATTGTTTACCATTTTTGCTCTCTGCAGATCAACGAGTTCAACTTAATAAGTGCGTGCATTAAATTAAGACAACAAAGTTAAGCGATTGGCAACATTTTTGATATTTGTGCGTGTGTGTAATACAAAAAAGTAAATAAACAAAAACTTGTAAGCAAGTAATAAATAACAAAACCACTTGAAATCAACACACTTACGCCTACAACCAATTACTTTCATACATACATATGTATGTACATATACATATATGATATAAATGTGCGTGCTTGCTGAAAAAAATCACTTAAAAATTAAAAACAAAAAAATCATTGCTACAACATTGCGATAAAATTTGCATATCATTGATATGGCGGCGCTATAGCATCGTCAAACAAATGATAGCACCAAGGATTCATTCCGCATGCTCATATTATACATACAGACATACATATGTATGTATATACAAATGCGCCACATTGGCGCTCTGCGCTTCCGAATTCACACATCGCTTAAAGTGTTGTTATAGTTGTTGTTGCACATTTACCGGCTGCTCCCAATTGACGCTACTTGTTTCTGTGCTGTGGTAGTCACTCTCAGTAGCCGGCATTCTGCGCTCAGCTTTTCAGAGCGCGCCTCGCGCTCTCAGCCCATATACAAGACAACACGAAGAAAAAAGCACAACAACTAGCCTTACAGCCAGTCAGCAGGCGCTCCATTCCTTTATGCGTCCAACCTTCCGGCCTGCTATCTCCATTTAAGCTTTCTTTTTATATGGCTCTCTTATTGTTTTTTTTTTTTTTTGCTTTTCGTGAGAGTTGTTGCTCACAATCTGACCGGCTGGTTGTCTGTCTGTCCGTTTGTCGCTGTGTGCGTTGCGCTAATCGTTTTTTGCATGCCTTCGTTATAATTTCGCGCAATTGCCGGTTTTTTGGTGTTCGTTTCGGTGTCTACACGCGCAAACTTGCCTCAAATCGTTCACTTGGAGTACAATAACCCCCCTGAGGCGCTTTTATTGTTTTCTTTTCATATACATATGCATGTATGTCGCGGTGTACGTATGTATGTGAACCAACAATGTATGATTTTAATAGTGCTGCTTGACGGCTTGACGGGTTGTTTCTGTTATTTTTTGTATTCTTTTTTTTTTTGTTTTTGTGCATTTTTCTTTCAGCTGTTTTTAATGGCATTCACTCCGGCTCAAGCAGCCTTCACATTCTATATGCATACATAGTTGTGTGTATGTGTGTATTCTTAATCAGATTTAAAAAGCAAAGCGCACTTTCTACTACAAAGCCATAACAACACACTCAGCGCTTATTATTTACAGCCAGTTCCTTCCATTCTTTATATGCACATTTACCAAGTTGATTCTCATCATTTGAAGAGACTATATACACACCTATACATATGTACAAATTTAATAATTATTCTTCTCATTCTTCCATTGCAGAGATTCCTCAATATCCGAACGTTGATCCTTTTAATTATGAGAGCATGAAATCATCGCTGTTGGAGCGTCTGGAATTATTCAATGCCGCACCATTTACCATTCAGCGTTTGTGTGAGCTTTTGATTGATCCGCGGAAACAATACAGTCGCATTGATAAATTTATGCGTGCTCTTGAAAAGAACATTTTAGGTGAGTGCACCTTCGTCATTAAAGGCAAAAATAATTGAATCTGAAAAATTCGGCAGTATATCCTTTAGATGAAAGGTTTTTGTAGATTTAGCGCTCGTTTTGAAGCTAATTTGAACTTTAGCTGGTGCTTTAAGTAATACTTAGTATAAGTTTTTTGAAGAGAATCGTGAACATTTTAGGTTACAACGTGCTTGTGAATGGTATGTCTGAATCAAGTTACGTTTATTTATAAAATTATGAAATCAACTCAGCCAGATGCAAACTAAAATTTGGTACTGCGTACGTAATGAGTGTAAAACAAGAAAAAACGCTACCTATGGTTGTACTGCAGCTGTAATACCCTTCAAAAGCACAAAATATTCCATACACGAGCTTTAGTTTGATCTGACTGTTAGCATGACAATTTCTTCGGGGGTTGTTGCGTTGTCTTGGACAATGATGAAACATTTCTCCAAGCTACGTAAGGAATGTTGTGATCCATCGTGGTCCGATCTAAGCAATTTGTTCGCAGAGTGTAGTGTTATCCTGGACATAGTATCTCCATGCCACATTTCATGAATATATCTTGTCAAATAAAATAGTTTTTCTTACAAGGACTTGATTTTGATCGATCGGCTTCTTCGGAAAGTGTAGTGTTGTTCTATTTTTCATACAAGGACTTGATTTTGATCGGATTTGTACGGCAGCTATATGCTATAGTAGTCCGATTTCGGCGGTTCCGACAAATGTGCAGCTCGTCGCTGTGAATGGCGTACTTGGAGTCAAACCACCACCCATTGCAGACGAAGTGCTCGAGTTGCTGCGAGAATCGAGAATGACCCTTTCGCAGCTTCGTTCTGGATGCTGTAGCAGGTTACACTCTTAATTATCCAGAATATAACCCGACATATAAAACATATGTAAAGCCGAAACAAAACTCCGAAATCGTTAGCTGGTAGCAATTTGTCGTCCGGTCCGGACCTGTCAAAATTAAGCGATCCGTACCATTGCATGATGCCCCTTGAGATTTTCTCAATGGCATCTACATACTGAGCCCTACATGATCCCAGTTAAAGAGAATAGGAAATTCTTCAAGGCAGTTTCTGCTTGGAAGTTTTTATAGAGATGACATCTACATACTGAGCCCTGCATGATCCGAGTTAAAGAGAATAGGGAATTTTTTCAAGGCACTTTCTGCTTGGAAGTTTTCATAGAGATTCTCTGAAACAGATTCTCTAGAGAACAGTCGTCAGTTTTCTGGCAGTTAATCTTCAGTCTAGTGTTTCTTGTTAAGTAGATATCCAGTGTGTAAAATTTAGCAATAAATTAACCCTAAAATATTGCATTTACAATAAATTCTCAACAAAGACCTTCTTTTCTTCTCTTCTTTCAACTCTAGTAGTGAGCACCATCGAACCCGGTCGTAAACGCACTGAAAGCGAGAACGGCGATTCACTGGACTCAGTTGTCAACGGTGATCTGTCGCTGGATGTCAACGTCGATATCGATATGGAGAATGAATCCTTGTTCAATATGGAGGCACAAAACGGCAATGGCACTGGCAACGGCAATGGTACAGCTTCGGCAACCGATGGTGGAGCATCACCAGAGTCTGAGTCGAAAGAAAAGTCCGTAGTGAGCGAGACAGCTACCAAGCACTCTACAACCGATGATGATATTTTACCGAATCCGAAAAAGGCAAAGCTGGATTTGGATGCGAAAGATGAAAATACCGCTGAAAAGACTGAAGATGAACAGAGTGGTGTATCGGTGGAAAAGGATGAGAGCAAATCTGCAGCTGCTGAAGCTAAGTCGAAAGAAACAGAGAAAGGTGATAGTAAACCAGCAGCAGAGGTGGCTAAGCCGTCCGAGGATGCAGAAATGATAGAAGTTGATAATAAAAAAACAGAATCGAAGGAAAGTAAAGAGGAATCTAATAAGGAGGAGCAAGTAGAGAAAAAAGACGTGCTAGACAAAGCGAATGAGAAACAGTCTGAAAGTAAGGAGGAAAAGGAAGTGCTTGCAGAAAGCAATGACATGGAAAAAGCTGCTAAGGAGGAAACTGCCAGTTCCACTGAGAAAGTAGCTACTGAAGAAGTTGACGCTGTTAAGAAGGTAGAAGGCATCGCTGAGTCGGAAACCGAATCAAAAATCACTAAAGAAGAAGAAAAAATTGTTGAAAAACAGGAAATAGAGAAAGGCGAAAAAGAGGTTGTTGTAGCAGCTGCTTTAGCCACTACCAAGCCTGTTGAAGAATCTGCTGAGTCCGAGGTCAAGAAATCAGCCGAGCCTGCAGCTAAAGCGACAGAAGCGGTTGCTAGTGATTGTGCTAAGGATAGCGCTAAAATCGTAGACAAAGTTCAAGAGGAAACGGCGCCTGTCAAAGCCAACGAGGCCGCTGCTGATTCTAAGGCCGAAGTTTCGACTAGCACACCAGAAAAAGATGAAGCTGCGCCACAGACAACGGCTGCTGGAGCTGAAGCTGTCGCTGCTGTAGCGAAAGATCCCGCTGTTGAACCAAAAGCCACATCTGAAGTGACCGACTCCACTGCCACCCAAACAAAAGAATCCGAAAAGACTGAGAGCAATGCAGAGGCCGCTGCCGAATTGGAAAAACCGGTCGAAGAAAAAGTAGTTGAAGCTGTTACGACCACGTCCAACGAGGCAGAAGCTGTTGCGATTGAAAAGTCCACGGCTGTTTCCGGTAGTAAAACCGCCGTGGATAAAGCCGAAACAGTTGCTGCTGCACCAGCTAAAAACGAAATTTCTGCGTCGGAAGAAAACAAAGAAGCTGCCGCTGCTGCAACCGCCACCGCAGCTAAAGCCAGCGAAGCTGAAATTCCAACAACCGCTGAGGCGGTAGAAAGCACAACTGCTGATATTGTTAATGTAGCCGAAAAAAGCGATGTTGTCGCCCCAGCTGCAGATACGACTCCAGCTCCAGACTCGGCCGAAGCTATTGCTGCCGTTCCTGTTGCCACACCAACAGCCACCCCGCTACCTACACCGACATTAGCCCTCAACGATCAACCCATGGACGATGTGCCGATTGAGGAGGGCCAACCCGCTGTTAACGAAGTTGTTATGGCCGAAACAAACGCTGCCACCGAAATGGCCACTGACGCAAACGAACCACCAGCACCATCCAAGGACGAACCCGCTGGCATGGAAGTGGATGACACCAGTCAGGAGGCCATGGATCAGTAATTTTGTGGCAGCACATAACAAACTAAACAATAACATTTTCCACACGCATAAAATACAAAAGAAAAATTTTTAATTGTGAAATGCGTCGATAACGACGGCGACGACGACTACGGCGACAGCGCGACGCAAAGCGATTTCTTCATACTTAAATACTTTTTGAATATGTAGCGTGTTTTTAGGCGCATAAGCAAAATTTACATGAATATGTAAACGAAATTCGTTGTAAGCTAATTTAAACTATCAAGAGAACATAATAATTATAACTTAAAAAGAAAATACAAAACAAAAGCAAAAAACAAAAATAATGTGGTTGGCAAGCAAGAAATATATAAAAACAAAATACTTCATACACACATATATATATGCGTCTACTTTATACAATAAGCAGTGATATGTGCTGTTCCATTCCATTTGTCAGAATATTTGTAACACCACATGGACAACGAACAATACGTATTGGCTTTTGCATCATTTCCTTTTTTACGATTTAATTTAAAAGTTATTGAAATGGTATTAATAAAATCGTGTATTTTAACATTTTTTATTTGTGTAAACAATGCGAGCCAACAATAGTAAATAAAAAATTTAAAATTCAAAACGATAAACATCTTTATCTTTTATCACACAGTGGCGCAAGGAAGGCCGATTTGGAATTTCTTCTTCTTTTTTATGTTTCTTTTGGTTGAGAAATTTGCTAGAGAAAGTGTGAGGGAGCAGACAATTTTGGTTTTTCAACATCAGTCGCCATTGAGGCAGCTATTTTGTTGTTTGTTCTACGCGCCGAATATATTAGCATACAGAGAAGTAGAATCGTGGCATTTAAAGCTTGTTATTTAATATCAATGTATCATTGTACATTTGTAATTTTTTTCCAAGGCTGCAGAAGACATATTTCTACTTAGCTCAACTGTCTTACACCAATTTGTGACTAGTGATCGTTGACCTACTAAAATTAATGATTTTTTATAATAAAGCAAAATATTTTAATTGGGCAAAGGTTTAATTGACATTGTGACAACCTAACTGACGCCACATTGTTTCCAATGCCGTGCAATAAGCAATGAATTGAGAACTTATTTATTATTCTTTAAAACATAATTTCGAAAAAATTCGAAACATTGCTGTTTTGTTGCCTGATTAAAAAACAATAAAAAAAAATGAAATAATATTAAAAAATTTTTGAGGTTATGCTTCTTATTTTTAAGTAAATTTGTGCAAAAATTTTACGATTATTATTGCTCCGCAAAAATCGAGCTTATCGATGATAAACTCAAGTTTTATGCAATAATCTTACTACAGCAATATACAATATAGTAGCGGAGAAGCGATGTGCCTGTCATTAGTAGGATAAGTTTGTGGTTTCATAGCCAGTTCTTAGCCGCACTTGTCATCTAAAGAGGGATGCATAGTCGACATCATAGATTAGTGTTGAGTACGTGTTATTATTTATAAAAAAAAGATATAAATTACAAACAACTGAAAAACCACTGACCGCTAAATTCTATTTTGTTTTTTCACTAACTCTACACACCTTAACACTTTCTTGCCTAATTCTCAACCCTTTGTTTGCCGTATTTATTTATTCGATTGACTTCCAAATGATGAAAGTTCCATACATATATGAATAAATATGCTTAAAAACATGTGCCGCAGATTCACGTGAACGTGAAAAAAAAAAATTAAATACTGAATATAAATCTTTTATTACATGCATACTACGTAAATAATTAGCGCGAGACAAATATTCAAATTTGCTTTGGTTTATTATTTTTACATAATACATTCACTTTTCAATGCATTTATTAATAACTAAAAATATATTTTATAAAATTCATAAAAAAATATTTAATTTAACTTATTTTTATGAAATTTTTATACACCAATTGCAAAAAAAAAATTAAATTTCATATGAAATTTAGCCAAATGTGATAACACATTTTTTCCATTATTCACATTAATCATTCAATCATATAAGGCAACATCCACTAATATTTAACAGCTCTGTTAGCTTTGGTACTTTAAGTGGAAAAGATGGAGATTTTTGACAATTCAGCAGTATCATTTATGATTGTTTACAAAAAATAAAAATGAAGTAAAGAAATACAATTAAATAAAAAATAAAGTAAAAAATAAATAAGATACAATAAAATAATGAAATAAACTAAACGAAAATTAAAAATAATATTGTAATAAGTAAATTTTATGAGATTTTTTTTTGTTTGCTTTATAGTTCAGCACAATATAATTTTCTTTCCAACTTGCAAACAAACATGCATAATCCGATTATTTTAGTGTTAGTATTTACATAGAGACATATATATGTATATATAGTACATATATGGAAGACAAGAAGAAAAAACGTATATATGTAATCAAAATCCGCTACTGCAAAATGAAAGCGATTTCAAACCTAAAATAAAGTGAAAACCGATTTATAATTTAAATACATGTAATTGATAATCGTACAAAAACAACAAAACATTTGTATTTACTGCAAGAGCATTGTTTTATTGGATTTACTTTTAGTCTTTTTTTATAAACATACCTAAATAAAACATACCATACTCACTAACTGATTGATAATACGATTTTGTCAAGCTGATATGAACCAGGATTTTAAATCATACAGGCCAAACAATTCTGCTGTATTCTTCCAAATTACATGAAGAGCGTTTTCTGCCACTAAAACATTTGTTAAGCCTGCAGCTTCATGTACCAACAACTGTTTGTTTACATAAACCCTTTATGGCTGATTCACATACAACTTTTACTTTGATTTGACTGAGGAGTTCGGTTAGTGCTTTTGTACGAATTTGCTCACAACACGAACACGAATTAAAATTTGCGACAATTCTTATATTTGCAAGTCACCTATTGGTTAAATTACCGACTAATTTTTCAACAGCACCACCAGATATTTCTTTTAATGTTCCAATGTGTATCTAAAGACCCAATTGTCAAGAAAAACCGAGGGTAGTGGTATGTGGATGGGCCACTAATGACTAGGCTAAGCTTAAAAGTATATAATCAACTTTTCAACATTGCGGTATTGTCAGCGTAAAAAATATTTATGTAATAAGTAGTGGCTTGTAAGGCTATAAATTGTGCGATATGTAACGCAACTTAGCATTACCGTCGCATGGCACCACCGCCGAAAGTGTTTTGTCGTGGATCCATCGGTAGTGTGCCACTTTGATGAATCGACGTCACATTTGCGATAACAGGAATAGTATATGACATATCTGCTGTACGTTCTAGTCGTTGGCGTATCGGCACCGGCGTCTGTGGTCGCAACGGTGCTAGTGGACGATGATAAGGTGGCTGAACAACTGCATGTGGTCGTACAACAGTGTGTGGCCATGATTGCGGTTGCGCTTCATGCCTCACCAACATCCTTGGTGCTGGCGGTTGTGGCGACTCCGCTAACGAGTTTATTCTTTTTTGACGTGGATCATGCATACTATATTTGTTTGAATGCTGGGTATTTTGTCCGAATTCAGATGGTAGTTGTGAGTATTTATAGATATCTATCAAACGATGGTGCAGACGATACAATTCTGTCGAGTCGGCCGCTAGCGCCGGTTCGCGTATCAAATCGGCAAAATCACTTAAAGCCATTAGTTGATTTTCATTGAACGTGCTTATTTGCCGCACTAGTGGCAGATCACCGTATTTACTGCTACCTGCGGCAGACATAGCTGTTGTTTGTGTACCGATATTATTGCCTTGCGGTATAGTTTGTATGGCTATATCATGTCCGGTGACTTTGTCGGTTTGCGTGGACTCAGATCTGAGAAATGACGTTTGCACGTCAATCAATCGCTTTTCAGTCTGTTCTATTGCTTCTCTTTTAATTTTTTGTATTTCTGGTGGAAATGTAAATGTTTTCTTTTTCTTGTCCAAAGCATGTATATCAAAACCTAATATTTTTGCTACTTCACTTGCTTTTGGTGGCAGTGCTTCTATACCCCATTCCTGTAGGTTGAAGTGATTAGCGTAGGAGTTGAACTTATAGAGAACATTGTTAACGTTGTGCAATGGTGAACGATTATCGTATATTTGCTGCCTGATATAAGAACTACTATTGGGTAGTTTACGCACAGTTGTCGTATAGATAAAAGACGGGTCTTTACGGTTTTTGTTTGCCTTGTTAAACTCCTCTATAGCTAATATTGCTCGTTGTTTTGCTGCAATAGAACGTTATGATATATTCAAATTATGTCATATTGTGGGATTTCACTTACAATTTTCCATTTTATCTTTTGGTAAAATAGACTCTTCTGCTTCTGATTCTTCCGAATCACTTTCCACTAAAAAAAAAAAAAGAAACGAATTAAATTAAAAGAATTATTATATCAATTTAGAAAAGTATTGTATGAGAATTTTTGTTTACGTTTAATGCGCTTGAAACCTAACGGTGCGGTCATGTCCATAATTAGACCATTTCTATTGACGTTGCTACGTCGTAGAAAAAGCTCAGTCTCTCTTACTGGTAAGCAGTCATTTGATTCTTCCGCAACAGGTAGGTTTGTGACAAACTCGGATTTAACGCGTATCATACATCTAGCGCCTGCAGCGCTGGTTTCCGGCTCAACCGAATCTAAATTAAATGTGTCAGGTCTCAAATGGTTAGAAAAAGGTGTACCACCGTGAAGTGTACTTTCTTCACCAGTTGTGAATTCGCTTTTAACGCGTATGCACGCTGCTTGTGGCATACTAGGACTATGGGATGTGTGCTTGCTACGCTTGTTTACGTTGGCAACAAGCGTCTCTTCGTCTTCATTTGCTTCACTGTGCGTACGTTTATGTGATTTCTTTTTCTTCTTTTTATGTTTTTTATGTGCCTTATTTGAGCTCTGCTCTTCAGCTTCCAAAAGTTCCAGCTCCTTAAGACGTTCGGAGTATTTTATTTCAAGTCCATGATTGACTACGTCGTCTATACGTTTGGCAACATGGTCAACTAATAAATCGTCAAAAAAGTTTTCTGGTATCGGTGCGGATGTTGTGGTTTCTGAAACAGCTGTTGTACCAACAGGTTCACTTTTTACATTAAGAAGTTCTGGAGTAGCAATATTTTGTTCGGCGGTATGTTTTTGTTGTTGTGGCGGTTCGGTGGACTCTAAAGTCTCCGTTGTTGTTGTTTCTGGAATAGTTGTAGTATCAACAAGTTCGTTTTTTATATTGACTAACATTTCTGTGGATTCATTTTCAAGTGTATTTGGTTCGCTGCACTCTAAAGCTGCTGCTGTGATATTATCAGCATCCTTGATTAAGTCATCAAAGAAATTATCGGGCAATGCTCCATCTGCTTCAGGCACACCATTTGGACTGTTGGGTGCAGTTGAATCATCCATATTCGTTTCAGTTGGTACTTCTACTCCTCTGTTATAAGTCACATTTTCTGACGCAGCATCTGCTGCCAGTGAAGGTGCATCTATCGGTTCAGGTTTGATTCCTATTATTCCTTCCGCCACTGGTGTTTGAATTGTGTTTTGTGTTTCACTACTTGTTATGTCTTTGTCTATTTTAGGTGGTTCAGCTGATACTTCATTACTGTCTTCAACCCTTCCTTTCTTTATTTGCATTACATGTTGCGTGCTTTGACCTTGAGTATTTGATAAAGATTTCGGGTCATCAGAAATGTGAGTCGGAACTGCAACCAATTCATTGTTGCTACAAACATCTTCTTGCTGAGATATCATTTCGGCGTCCTTTTCTTTGGGTTCTTCTTTGATTTCAGGAGGCAGAAGTATTGGTCTGTGTGGCTCATCCAAGGCGGGTGGAGTTGATGAATTGGAACCTGTATTGGTGGCATCCAATTCTTGCATTATTTTTTCAATTTGATCATGGCAAGCTTTGCTATCTTTCTTATCGTTTTCCATATTTATTATTGCGAAATGCACGCTGTATGCAACCACAAATTGTTAAAATAAACCAATAAATTTTGCAGTGTTGTAAAGAGTTGCAGACTAATTGCACAAACAAGGGTGTTACAGAGTTTGAATAATATGCTTTAGTGTGTTAAATTTCCACAAAAAAGTAAAAGGAATTTAATTTAAAATAAAAACAGATGAGTTCCCAGAATAAGAGACATAATACATAATAACACAGTAATAATAAAATCAAAATAGAGTAGCAAAACTGAATTATACATTATTTAATTTTGTGATCACCCTGCAGAACATTATGCGAAAAATATGTCAGCTGTTGCGGTATTGTATATAAACATTTTTGTTTTGAGTAAACCGGCAAAAATATACCGCCAAATGGTGAAATACTGAAATCATAAAGCAGATTTATTAATTTGATAGCGAAATGGAAAGTGAGAAAGATAATCAGCCATCAACATCGAAAGCAAGCTTAAAGAAAAGAAATGAGCAATCGAGCCCCGAACGATGCTCAGAGGAAGAATCCACAGAGGAGCCTTTACCAACCGAGGCTGAAACCTCCTCAAATGTAGAGGAGTCTGGATTTCAGGACGACGATGCAACCTTAGCAAATGTTATGACAGCTGAGGAATATTTACAGCGTAAAGATGTCATTATGCTGGAATATGAGAAACAGATGTTTCTTGATATAGTTGGTTCGGATGGGCTCACCGTATGCGCCAAGTGGGTGATAATGAATTTCATATGTTTAATTATAAATATATATTTAATATTGACATTTAACTAATATCGCAGAGGTTTAAACTACACGCGTGTTGTTACAAACATACTGAAGGTTTACAGTGATCCAGGCAATCTTGTGATAGTTATCAACTTTTCTGATTGGGAGGAGAAATATTATAAAGCCAAATTGGAGCACAAATATGTACACGAGGTAGCAACAACTGCGACTGAGCGGTAAGCAGCATGTCATATAAGTTGAGAAATTACTATATTAATTAACCTGTTTGTAATCTACCCATAGAGAACGTGTCTATTTTGAAGGAGGGATACAATTCATAAGCACACGTATTTTAGTTGTGGATATATTAAAAAATCGTATACCCATCGAATTGATAACCGGCATGGTAGTGTTGCGCGCACATACGATTGTCGAATCGTGTCAGGAAGCCTTTGCCTTGCGTCTCTTTCGCATGCGTAACAAAACTGGTTTCATTAAAGCATTTTCTAGTAGCGCTGAAGCATTCACCATCGGTTACGGGCACATAGAGCGCACTATGCGCAATCTCTTCGTAAAACAACTCTACATTTGGCCACGTTTCCATGCAGTCGTGCAGCAATCGTTGAAACCATACGAGGCGCAAACGATTGAGCTGCACGTGCCAATGACGCAGAAGATGGCACAGATACAAACGCATTTGCTGGATATAATGAATTACTTAGTACGCGAAATAAAACGTATTAATCGCCTAGTCGATTTGGATGAAATCACTGTGGAGAATTGCGTTACAAAGAAGTTTCACAAAATATTACAAGCGCAGCTGGACTGCATTTGGCATCAACTGAACTCCCAGACGAAACTGATAGTGGCTGATTTGAAGATTTTGCGCAATCTAATGATGTGAGTGAGACAAAATTGAAATTGATTTAATTTTTGTATTAAGCATACTTATACACATATATACCGATTTTATAGTTCCACAATCTACCATGATGCAGTAGCGGCTTATGCGCTCACCAAACGCTATCGCACGACAGAGTACGCGCTCAGCAACTCCGGTTGGACATTGCTGGACTCGGCAGAGCAAATATTCAACTTGTCCAAAGAGCGCGTCTATAACGCGCAGGGCGGTAAGCAGTTTGAATTTTTAAGTCTTTGCATTCCATTTTAACTTTTTTTACTTTACAGAATTCGAACCCGAACCTTGTCCGAAATGGCAACATTTAGCCGAAATACTCAAAGTAGAAATACCTGCAGATATGAAACGCTCGCATCCGGACTGCTTGGAGCCACCCAAAGTGCTAATACTATGTCAAGATACACGCACTTGCTTCCAGTTGCGTCAATTTCTCACACAAGGAGGTGAGCGTTTTTTATTATATGCCGCCATGCAGCACGAGATACCAATTGGCAAGTTGGCGGAGAGCTATGACAAAGTGAAGAATGTGAAAGAAATCGAAAGAGCGCTAACACAACTACAACAGTCAGCAGCGAATGCACGAGTCACCCAAAAATTCAGTGGCACGCAGAAAAAGTCGCAAGCTGGTACCAATGAAAGCGATGTTGTCGACGAGGACACAAGCGCGCCCATGGATGAGCTAACACAATTGCTAACTAGCTCGGATGGGGATGATCCACTCTCAACCACGTTCTTTCAGGAGAGCTACCTATTGACCATGACGCAACTGAGCGATATCGATGACACATCGTCAACATTCGCTGAATTTGCGGATGCCGCAAATGCTAGTGGCGCTGCAGCGATTAATATGAATGCTTCCATATTTGAGCCCTTCCCAGAGGTTTGTCCTTCAGTTTCAAATTACAAGCATTTTAAAGCTATTTTTTTTATAGTTAGCAGATTTGGACATTACTGCAGCTGTAGCGGCACGCAATCACCCTTTCATCTGCATACAGACTTTTAAAACTGAACATGAAGGTCCGATGGCGCTTGATCGCATACTCGAGGAGATACAGCCACAGTATGTGATCATGTACCATTGCAATGTGGCTGCTATAAGACAGTTGGAGATACATGAGGCGCGTCAACGGCGCGCTGTCAACGAGCGCATGCGCGTATTTTTCCTCATACATGCGCGTACCGTGGAAGAGCAATCGTATTTGACGAGCTTGCGTCGTGAGAAGCAGGCCTTCGAAATGATTATAGAAACGAAGCGAGTAAGCCTGTCACGATCTGGTGAACCACTGTTGTTGTTGCTGCCGAGTCGACAGTCCTTGGACGGATAAAAATACGGGTACGGTCCGGTTACGTAGACACGACTGTTGGGGGAACCGTCTGGTGGTGGCCATTAACACTGTCATAGATTTGCTCTCAGTAAATGTGGTCATTGCAGTCAAAGCGCCACCATAGCAGAAATTTCTGCCGTTACAACAACAACAACAACACCCCGACTTGTCTCTGCTCCCACGACAGTTGAGCCTACGTAACCGGAGCGGACCCGGATTTTTATCCGTCCAAGGACTATCAACTCAAAAGTGAACCAAATATACCAAATATATGTCTTGCTACTGCTAACTGAATATTTTTTTTTTGTTGACTTTAAGGTTATGGTCATACCTGAGTATCAGGATGGCAAAACGGATGAAGCTTTCATACTCTATAAGACATATGCCGAAGACGCAGGCGGAGAAGCTGGAAATGCTGTTACCCGCAAAGCTGGCGGTCAAGTGGATCTTGTACCGTTTACTGCGGCGCAAATTATTGTAGATATGCGTGAGTTTCGCTCTGATCTGCCATGTCTAATACACCGGCGTGGCATGGAAGTGTTACCTGTCACTATAACGGTAAATTTAACTTCAAAATATAAGTGCATGACGTTAATAACATCGGTCCATTTCAGATTGGCGACTACATACTGACACCCGATATCTGCGTCGAGCGCAAATCGATTTCCGATCTTATAGGCTCGTTGAATTCCGGCCGCTTGTACAATCAGTGCATACAAATGCAGCGTTACTACGCCAAACCGATACTGCTTATTGAATTCGATCAGAATAAACCCTTCCACCTGCAGGGCAAATATATGCTTTCACAGAATACTACATCCAAACATTCGGATATTGTGCAGAAGCTGCAATTGCTTACCATACATTTTCCCAAACTGCGTCTGATTTGGTCGCCCAGTCCATATGCGACGGCGCAACTCTTTGAGGAGTTGAAACTGGGCAAACCACAACCGGATCCGAAGCAAGCCGCCGCTGTGGGCTGCGATGAGTCCGGCAGCAGCGGTGAGGAGCTGAAATACAATCCAAATATTTATGATTTTCTCCTACGTTTGCCCGGCGTCAACACGCGCAACGTGCACAAACTCATGCGTCAAGGTGGCTCGCTGAAGGCGCTGCTGAAGTGCACGCAGGTACTCCCACCCACCTACCAAGTAGTTAGTTTATATCCAGTTCATTGTAAATCTACTTTTCATTTTAGGCGGAAATCGGCGAAATGCTCGACTCTCAGGAGAATGGCCGCATGCTGTGGGATGCGTTGCATGTGGCTCATTTGCCCGAGAAAGATGAGGTGTCGGGCGCTGTTGCTCTGGTCGCAGGCAAGTCCGTTGGCACACACTCGCGTTTTCGGCGCGGCGCTGCAGCAGCAGTGGCCGCACGTGGTCTGCAACGGCGTTTTAAAAATTAAATACCACATGTAGTTTAAGGATTTGAATGAAAATAAAAGGATGAGCTTCAACTGTGTTGCGAGAGATCGATGTTGTTGCTGTTGTCGTCGGTCTTTTCCGCGTGAACCCGATTGTTGCGAGAACTGATGAGGTGCGAATGATTACTTTAGTTTGTTGCTGTTTTTATTGTAGCGGGTACCTTATTAATGTTTGCTGGAAGGTATGACTTCGACGGGCTAGGACTACAGAGAGAGGTTAACACGCCTGAGTAAATGTGAGTTATTAATTCGTGCAAAAGAGTGGTTGTTGTTGTTTTAACGGTTATCTAGTCCTCGTTATGGCGGTAAGGGTCATTTGCGTTGTCGTCGCGGTCATCTAACGGCAGGCCCAAGAAACGTGCTGTTTCGACGGCTTCGGACCAAAGGCAGGAGGGTATTAGATGAGCGGGGTTTGTAGGGCATGCAAAGAGGTGGTCAGTCAAAAGAGTGGTTAGGTCATGCGGTGACTCTTTGCACGCAGGACATATATTTTTTTTTTTTTTTTTTTAACGGTACACTTCTTGGAGTTTAAGCCGATGCAGTATTCAGAACAAAGTTTCACAAGGGTCATTCTAGTTCCAAGCGCCAATTCAAGGTCAGGGTCTGTGTTGAGTGGTATTTCGATTCCAAGTACGCCTTTTATTGGTATCGATGAAGGAGTTAATAATTCCGCTGTA